TATGGCTCTGCTATGTTACAGAAATTTCATAACTCAATTTTTGACTTAGATTTGAAAGAAGAAGAAAAAGTTTATTTGCTAAGAGAAATTACCATGGTTTTTAAACAGAATTCCGAGTTAGGATGTTTCTGAACTACAGATTCTGTTCAATTTCTATTAATAGACTACTTTAATAAATGCAGTCCTTTAAGAATTTTTTTAGCGTTCTGATTGCAAATGATAAAAGTATGTTAAATTAGAGAAATAAATGTAATACAATGTGTGTTTACACAGACTTAAATGCGATCCAGTAGGCTAATTGACTCTCTATAGGCCTATATAGGCGATTTAATAAAATAATAGGCCCACTGAACAAAGAAAAATGTGTTGCAATTTAATTAATTCAACTTTAGAAAAAAAAATTATGCCGTGCATTATAATAGTTTCTGTGTCTTATGCATACATAATCCCTTAAATAATTTAAACTATTAGAAAAAAAGTTGATATGTGCAGAAAATAGCAGCTACTCATATTTATAAACCGCTTTATGAAAATCAAGGGCAAAATCGTTTAAAAAAGGGCGTAAATGGCAACATTATAGCACACACATAGACACACACACACGCGCTCACACAGTCTCCTGCATCAGTGCGATCATAGCGGAAGACCCCAGAGGTGTTTGGGATTTGGAGCTATAGGTTTAATGCTGGTTCAATTAGATTAAACACGGATCAGATCAGTGCTTGATACAATGCAAATTAATGCAATACATAGGCTACAAAAAAAGATGTAGGCTGAAAAAAATTAAAAATTCAAATAGTATTATAATAACCATATTTTTTACATTGTAACTTACTTTTTCAATTTTATTGTTCATCATTCTTTCATTCAGTTCATTGTTCATATATTCATAACTCGCACTGAGGCTATTTAATTTTTTGGTATCTGTATTTTTACCCATCTGCTTGCTTAAGCCAAAAATGTGCAAACACTGATGAAAAAGGAGAAAGCCCAAAGATCCAGCCAAATATTCAAGACTGAACACTATTATAATGTAGTTTAAAAGCCCTGCTGTACATTTTTTTTGCTGTGAAGATAAAATGACATTAAAACTGACTTTGAGTAGTGGATATAGGCCTACTAGGAATATACTTTTTCATTAATATACAAATTATATATATATATGTGTGTGTGTGTGTGTGTGTGTGTGTGTGTGTGTGTGTGTGTGTGTGTGTGTTGCGGGTTAATTAAAATCAGGTTCCCATTTTTAAGCTTTGGGTTGGTTAAGCGTAGGCCTACACCAATCGCGCCATCTAGTGGATTTGTAATATATAGTTTCATTTTTGGCCACTAGAGGCTCTACATAATGCTCCTATGTTTTTCAAATTAATATTCTAAACTATTAAACAAAAGTCTCATCCATGGCTATATTCCCTTTCAGGACCCATACAGAGAATGTTTAGACCACTAATATTAGCCTTAGTGAGCTTGACACTAGAATTTGACCAGACTAGCTCTTAGGTTTCAAGTGAGGGAAGAAGGGTTTGTGCATATAATCTATCAGAGGGAAGCAAAAGCACTTAGTGAAACATCTTGGACAAAATCTATCCACCCTGAAATGAACAAATAGCTGATCGTGAGGCCTGTAACGATGGCAGTCAGCTACAGATGCTTCCTCTCATGATGAGACACTTAGCAGTAAAAAATCTTGAAATGTGATATTCAACATTTTTAACTTTAAAACGTTTAGACAATAACATTGTATGTACTCAATCAATACATGGCATGCTGTGTAACTGCAATGTTTGTAAGGCACTCTTTACAACAAGGAACAATTGTGAAAACATTGTGAAAAGAGCTTATACAAACTAATTTATTAGAAAAAGGTTCCGCAAATAATATATATTATAAATACATTATACATACATAATATTTTGCAAGGCGGAAGTAAGCTATTTGTACATGTGTGAGACTTCCGTTTCATTAACCACTGCAGGTAAATAGAAGAAATGAAGAATGACAAAGTGCAGTTAACAGTAAAATTATTTGCGCTACAAACCAGCGTGTTTATTATTACAATAATAAAATGATGTGATAATAAATAGGCTACAAGTTTGCAATATCAAGCTGTATACCGGACTATTTTTGAACAGGTAAAATAATAACTAAGCAAATGACACCGGAAGTCTCGCTCATTCAAGTTAAACATGGCCCGCTGTTATGTTAAAAATTAGGTGGATAATATTAATATTATAAAATTATCTGCTTGATAAATGTACTGTAAATGGCAGTTTACATTAAATTAAATTACTTAATTAATTGACATGTCAAAGACACGTTAAATAATTGATTCTGTTCAATTTTTATTAACTTTTTCTATGCACGTAGAAACAGATTTTGAATGCCGAGACTCAAACTCTGAATGACATCCGGTGGATTTAACAGAACCAGATGTTTAACTCCGCTGTGACTCACATAGCATCAGATTCACTTACAACACTCAGCTACGCCTCTGCTGACTGTGTTTGTATGTGTGTGTGTGTGTGTGTGTGTGTGTGTGTGTGACTTTTGTTGGACAGCTTAAAACCCAGTCAAAAGATATGAGGAACCCTGAGAACGAGAAACTGGAAGAACTACATTTGATTTTTTTCCCCCTCACACTTGGCTTTTAGTGAGAAGAATGAACAAACAATGAAATAGAAACAGAAACATCTGAACACAAAGAAATTCCTCTAATATTCCAGGTTCATGCGGCATTGAAGGTTCGGAAACAGGAAAATGGAGCTCCAGGACTGACTCACTGACAGATATAAAGGAATAAAACCTCCAGCAGCTCTGGGCCATGCTTGTCTGAGTCACAGCAGGTTTCTGCATGTTTACAGCTGCTTTAGGGAAAATGTTGCCAATGACTTACAAACAATAGCCGAATTCTTCAAACCTCACAGGACATGAGAGCAGAACTCATTCCAGCAAGAAAATTAGAGGATTCTTACTGGTTTTGGTCTGCAGATAGTTTGGAAATGGGGCATTTTGCTTTATTCTCTTCATTTAGGAAACTGGTAGGCCTCCTTTTCTTTCTTTATTGACATTACAGTATCTTTACCATCTATTGAAACGTTCCAATGCACAAAAAGTTCCTTTAGGGAAAAAGTTTTTTTCAGATTATTACAATTTTCTTGGCATTTCTTGAAATAAAATGGTTCTTTCTCATTGCAAATCTATTGCATGTCTGCACAATGTTGTGACTCGTGTGAGCCATACTTGTTTATTGTTTTTTCACTACGGTGGTCAACACAAATGTTTGTTTTATAGGCTACAAATTTCATATTTATTCTATCTCTCTCTATAGAATATTTTTGTGTATATGCTTTTGTTTCACACTGAGCCTTTTAGATACAGATTTCAATGGTATGTTAAAGTTTACTGGTGTGAAAAAAATGAATTGTTCTGAACCTATTATACTTACTAAGCCAAAGCAATTGAGGAAAAACTGAACTGTTTGTAGAAAGGTTCTTTAGGGAACCCAAAATGTTCTTCAATTGCATTTTTACGAAAAAACAACCCATCTTAAACATTATTTACACCATAGTACTGAAATGTATGCACTGTGTTTGGTTTTTAAAAAAGTAGGCTACACAAGAAAACCACATTAAATGTGCAAAAAACATGGTAATATAAGGATATTTCTGTAAGCGCATGATAATTCCATAGTTTGGACAAGTTCCATGACAGTACCATGGTATTGCAATGTTAAAAGTACCAAAATACCACATTTTGGCATTGTCAGCGGATAATCATGTGACGATGGACCACACAACCAGTCATAAGCAGCACGGGTATATTTGTAGCAATAGCCAACAATACATTGTATGGGTCAAAATTATAAATTTTTCTATTATGCTAAAAATCAGGATATTAAGTAATGATCATGTTCCATGAAGATATTTTGTAAATGTCCTACTGTAAATGTATCAAAACTTAATTTTTGATTAGTAATATGCATTGCTAAGAAATTAATTTAGACAACTTTAACTGCAATTTTCTCAATATTTTGATTTTTTTTTGCACCCTCAGATTCTTAAATAGTTGTATCTCAGTCTAATATTGACCATATATCAATGGAAAGCTTGTTTATTCAGCTTTCAGATAATGCATAAGTCTCAATTTAAAAAAAAAAGGACCCTTATGACTGGTTTTGTGGTCCAGGGTCACATATGGAAATGTTCTAAAAGCGCCACGCCCGGACTGACATCACCGGGTTTGACTTAACATCTCGATTCGTCACGGTGACCCAATCACGCTGCTTGGGGCTGACGGAAACTGACTGTAGGGCCACGGAGTGTCGTTAGGGGCCAGGCTCTGGGCTGCGCCAGCTGCATTCACCCTCCCCAAAAAAGCTACGTCAATAATGCCCTCATGTCTCCAGACGGTTGGCTCTCCGTCCAATCAGCGTTCGAGATGGAGTTGAAAAACGGCGCGTTCAGCCAATCACAACGCCAGGCGTTGACGTAGGGGCGGGAAGAGAGGCGTGGCTCTGAAATCTAGGGTGTCGCCGTGGTGGCTCCATTCGAAGGCGACGGCGGTTGGTTGGTCGTCTCTGTGTTTGTCCTCTTCCAAACTCCACAAACGGACCCGGTACAGACTGTCGGTTCGGATCCAGCTGTCAAACGAGATCTGTGCGGTCCGGCATCGCTGGGATGAAGCGGAATATCTTTCATTTGAATCGGATCGCTGGTGTAGTTTGAAGAAAGAGAGTCGGGCGGAGGAGCCATTTTGTCCCGACAGTGTGAGAAGAAAGAAAGACAGAGACATTAAAAACACCAGACACCACACTTTCAGAGGAAACACACATCTTAAACGGCTCCTTCGGAGTTTAATAAAAGAGTCAACAGAGGAAATCGAAGCAATTCAGCTGTGAAGAGACTGTCCGGTGTGTGTTTTCGGGTAACACACACACACACACACACGCGCGCACTCCGTCTCTATCGGTTTCTCATCAGTGTGTGTTTATAAGAGCTCAGATGGCGAAGAAGACCTATGATCTGCTCTTTAAGCTGCTCTTGATCGGTGATTCTGGGGTGGGAAAGACCTGCGTGTTGTTCCGATTTTCAGACGACGCCTTTAACACCACCTTCATCTCCACTATAGGTGAGTATCACACCCGGTCCGAGGGGTTTCTTCTTTGTTTTATGTCAGAAATGCTGTTAAACGTGTGAGGATGTGCTGACTAGGCCTTGATTCTGGACTTTAGCATGCTAACCGGCTAACTGATTCCTATCAGCTGAGTGAATCACCTGAAATCAGTTGATTCAGAATCACATTCTAGAGTTGCGAGTGCTGTTTTGGTTGTCTAATAAACGTCGTTCTGTTCATCTGTATGTTTGGATTAATGTTATTGTAGTTGTTGAGGTTATTTGGCTAAAGTTTGCGTTAACATGCGGGTTGACTGACAGATAATGATTTGATGCTGGAGGAGTCAAAGTAATGGCTTGTCAGTGTTATATATGTAATTTCTAATTTGTCCAGACGAGATAATCGATACATTGTGTTTGGTTTAGATTCAACGTTAAAGGTTCAAGCGGCCTGTTACATGGAGTAACGTTAACCCCAAAATCCATCGTTCTAAGGGTTAAACCGGCTAACATTAAAACAGTGCGTCGTTACTGTGTCACTAGTGCGTTTAACTAACGAGTTAACTAACAAGTAATTTTTTTTTAAAGCATAAACAATTCATTAGTGTGGCGTCATGGGCTGCGCTACTGCGCGTGCGTGACTCGCCTCGTGCCAATAGAGAGATTGCCTAACTGTGTTCTCTATCTATGCTAAACCTGTCATTTCACTACCTCCTGCTGCTTTCTGCATGATATCATGGGAAAGCCACAACTGAAATGAGATTTTCACGGTTGTTAGTGTATGTGTTGACTGTAGATTTTGGGTTATGGCCAGGTGTGAGATTTGCAAACAATCTCTCCACCCTTTCATAAAAAAGCACTTTGGAGCTGCCATTGGACCAGTGTACTGAGTAAGTGCTATATCATTATGCCAGGGTTTTCCCAATGTGCTTTATGTGTAGACAGTGTCCAGAATCCATAGTAATACCATGGTACTTTTTGTAAGGAGATGAGCTTCCTAAATAAACCACATTAAATTTGGAAGTAATGAATCTGAATGTTAAGTTCATTGTCGTTTTATTTAGTTACCTGTTTATTTAACCCGAATCCATCATCTGTCACCTGACAAACATCACTAAGCATGTAAATGCTAGATATACTACTTGTTCAGATTGCTGCAGATGTTTGAACACCATTGTTGCATTATAATACGCACTTCCTATCCTCACTCTTTCTCTGTGTTCAGATGCCTGGAAGGTAAATTCAGTGGGTTAAAATGAGAAGCATGCCGTACCTGTTAGATCACAGGAACCGCATGAACACATTCACTGAGAACAGCGTGGGTAGATGTCATTTAGCAGATGCTCTTGAACTCAGTTTACGTACAGCAGGGTCATTTCTCTGGGGGTAACAGGAGATCTCAGCACCACGCCGGTTCATGGGGCAAATTTAGACACAGCCGGCCCTGTTCGTTTATTTTAAAGAACGCATCCTAAATGCTCTTTCGTTGACATTTTGTCTGATTATTAAGAAGAAATGTCCTGCATTTGTAGACCTTTAGTTGTTGAACGTGTATTTAAGTTTACATTAAATTAGTAGTTATTATTATTGTACATTATCTGTTATTGTTATTAAATATTTTTTAAATTTATTTTCGGTATTGTTTGTTATTTGTTAATATGTTTTATTTTTGTTAATAGTTCTTGTTTATACAAGTATGTTAGCCTGTAACTAATGTAAGGGCAAATTTATGTGATGCATGTTCAGGATTGTTCCTAAAAAGAAAAGTAGAAAAATAAATAAAAAATGGACCCAGTTTATGGACTTTTCATAACGCACGTTCCTGGTTCTAACTGGTTATTGTGAATGGTTCATCACCGCATGTTATTCCAAAGAAAAAGCCTTTATTTTTATATATAGTTCATAACTTGTGCTGCTTCTAGAATTGACTGCTGGCATCACATGGTTCACTGAGTATTAGTTAACATAAAATTATTTAATCTGTGAAATAATAGGCTTGTTTTTAATGGCGTTTGTAAGTTGAATAAAGTTGCCGTCATTGATTATGTTTCAGACTGATAAAACCTGGAAATGATTAGGAATGAAAACAAATATTGACCTGGTTTCTGGACAGGCAAGGGTGTGCGTGACCTTTACGACTGTGTTTTTGTCGCTGTGCTTTGAGTCACATGACCGCTCATGGTGTGTCAGGTGACCACATCACACCTGTGGCTTCCTGTTGTGATCAGGTGGCAGTTGTGAACTATGTCAGCATGAGGGTTGATGTTCTGAACTGTCAGGAAATAGTCGTTTAAGTCAACAGATCAGCGATAACTTCTAATCCATTTCTTCTTTTCTTTCAATTTTAGTGTTTCTTTTTTTAAAATCAACATGTAATCAGAATTGACTCTATTGTCTCTTGTTAGTATTCTACATGTTACTCCAAATTTTTTCCCTTGTCAATCTATTATCAAAAATGTATCAACTTGCTCCATCTCTAAAACGACATCCTTTTATTGATGATGTCATCAAGGCCACTTAAGTTTCGACCAATGACAGATTAGTTTCGGAAAGAAAGTTCTTTCTCCTTTTTTACAGGATAAAATAAAGTCCCGCTTTACATTTTTTCCTTGTTCAGCATCCTGTCACTTTATGGACATGGGTTATGAATGCCATGTCATGTTGAGTTGGAGTGCATCTCTCTCTCTCTCCCTCCTCCTTTCTATAGTTCAGAGCCTTAAAATACTCACCGGAAACTCCCTGCAGTCCCAAGGGAAAGATCACCTTACTCACTCACGCACGAATACACGCCTTAACCATATTTGTACTATTAAACTCTTGGTTTAAGTTTTTATAAATGCATAAAAAAGAGACTGATAGAGCATTTTCTTTCTTTTGTTTTTCTGTCTGGCACTAGTGGATTCTCTTTCTTTGACTGACAGGATCTTGGCTCAGTTGGGCGGAGCTTCATTCTGGACCCTTGAGGGGCCCCGCAGCTGCAGAGGCTCATGGGAAGGGGTCTGATTGGCTGCCTGTCAGGAACCCTTCCATGTCCTTTGTGTTCAGAACTCGTATAACCCAAGTTTTAAACTAGTCTCACGTTTAGTGGCCAAATTCAGGCTTCTTAAACTGTTGCAGGAATCCTTTATACACTAACCCTTATGTCACATTAAACCAGATTATTAATTTCCTTGTTGATGTTGGGCAGAATATCCAGGCTGCTCTTTTGTTGTCAACTACTTGCCAAAAATGACAGCGTTAGTCCTCATTGTATGAAATGGAGTAGCAAAATATCTTATTTTGCATTCCAGTCATACAGGTTTGTAACGGCATGACAGTTAAGTTAAAGATAACACAATTGTCATATCTGGTGAATTGTTCCTTTAAAGCCATATGTGGCATAAGCTTGGCTCAAACTTTCTGCTTTTAAAGCCCAACATACCCGACTGCAGTGTGTGTGTGTGTGTGTGTGTGTGTGTGTGTGTGAGAGAGAGAGAGAGAGTGTGAAGGCTCAGTCAAAAGTCCTTTGACACGTTTCCAGAGGTTAAGCTATGAGTGTGTGTCCTCCACTGTAACTTTCACACGCTCTGTTTTTATATTCTCATGCGTCGTTTACATCAGCAGAGTTTTCTCGTTTAATTCTCTTCGTGTCTCTTTCAGGCTCTGTTCTGTCTCTGCAGTGGTGTGTGTATATTGTGTGAGAGTGACTCAGTCTTTGGCTGCTCATTTGTGTATCATTTCATAAAGCGGCTCCCACCCATAGTGCAGCTGTGTGCGGTTGGAGTTCTGCTTAGCATTACTGCTTAGTTAAATATGTTGGTCAGTCTTTGTGCGTCTAGGGGTGTAACAGTACGTGTATTCGCAACCGGTACGGGTCTTTTGGTTCAGCACGAACACGTCGGAAAAATAATGGAGGACAGAGATAAGCTGCTGTGGGAAAAGTACATGATTTAAGTAGTCCTAAATATGAGATGTTCTTTATATTAAGGGCTTCAAAGTAACTCATAAGCATAGGGTTTAAAGCGGCTTGCTCTTCTGTCACATGCGTTTGCTGCTTAATGCATTTGAGACGTGTTTTTTCAGTGTATAACTTGCATCTTATGGTTGTATCCTTATCTGTAAATGTTAGAAAGTCACGCCATTATTTCCATTTGCATAAAGGATCATCTGGACAGTAAGTGAAGAATCACACGGATACATGACTAACAGATGGAGAGCAGTAATTCTGACTAAAATATACATTTTTCTTAAATGTTTCGCTTCCAAAAGTAGAAGCACTTGAAATCTCTTTACTTATTTATAACAGCACCATAAAGTCCAGTATGAAGAGTGTGCTGCAAGAGTATTGACATTTTTTACATTTAAAGACAGAGATGTAATTTGTTCGGTAAATCACTGGAATTTAACATTTTAAATTTTTCTCAAAATCGAAGAACATACTGAACCGTCAGTTTTTGTGTACCGTTACACCCCTGGATAGAACATACTATGTGTTTCTAAAGTGGTTTGAGTGGTTTAGCTCGTTACTATGCAGTTGATAAGGTGTTTTGAGAATTTTAGGTTGTTACTGTGCTGTTTTGATTGGTTTAGCTCATTACTATGCTGTTTCTTGGATGTTTTGAGTTGTTTAGCTCTATACGATGCTGTTTCTAAGGTGTATAGAGTGATTTAGCTCATTACTATGCCGTTTCTAGGGTGTTTTGATTGATTTAGCTCATTACTATGCTTTTTCTAGGGTGTTTTGATTGGTTTAGCTCATTACTATGCCGTTTCTAGGGTGTTTTGAGTCGTTTAGCTTGATACAATGCTGTTTCTAAGGTGTTTAGAGTGATTTAGGTTGTTACTATGCTGTTGCTAAGATATTTTGAGTTAGGCCTATTTAGGTTGTTAAGACCCCGATATACTTCAAACGAAATCGAAGAACGAACTGAAATGACATCAGGCCGAAACAAAGTTCATTTTGAGTTACTGTTGGCAGTTCGAAACAGCTCACCAAAGCGAACTTTTTGATAAACCCTTTTTGGCCCGTGGCGATTACACAGTTGGTGGGTGTGTTCTGGAACTCCGCCTTTGACGTGCGATGTTTTTTTTTTTTTGGTGACACGTTTACAACCCCGCCTCCAGCAGCCCGGGTGTCGGAATGTTCGAAAACCGTATACCGTCGCTCAGCCTTTTCAAACTTCTTTTTACCCTCAAATGAAGAGTGAAAAAGAACTTTGTTTGAAATATCTTTACTATGCTGCTGCCTAAGTGTTTTAAGTTATATAGGTTGTTACTATGCTCTTGCAAAGGTGTTTTCAGTTATTTAGCTTGTTACTGTGGAATTGCTGAGGTGTTTTGAGTGATTTAGGATATTACTATTGTTGCCAAGGTGTTTTGAGTGATTTCGGTTGTCACTGTGGTTAAGGTGTTTTTTTTTTTTTTGGCACATTGTGCACGGTTGCTAGGGTGTTGTTGGAGACTCTTACCAGTCCAAGTCTCTCTGCAAACATCACTAATAAAGTTGTGCAGCAGGACAAACATTGTATCTAGCCAGTGATCAGTTCAGGACATTTTCCAGAGCGAGTTTCTGACTGAATGCTTTTACTGTGCCATTGGGCCATTAAACTCTCAGCAGTTTCACAGATGAACCTTTCCATTCTGCCCGTCCTGTCCGTGTTGGTCTGTGCTAGTCTCAACAACACACTGCTACTGAGAGATCTCTCTACCCTTCATCATCTACATGAACTGTGACGCTATGACGCTACTTTCAACTGCAAGAGTGTCTACAAAACCCCTTTTTGGGGGTAAAATTTTAGAGAATACAATAAAAATGCCCAGTCAGTACTGTTTTTCCTATATCCAATATAGTGTTTTCTTGACGCTTTTCTGTGTCACAGTGAAAACTCAGGTTTGTTTCTCATTTGGAAAAGCTTCTCCCACGCTAGTAGCCTTAGAGGACAATTTGCACAAGTCCAGATTTCTGTTGAGAAGGTTTTACAACAAATTAATGTATGCCTACACATCCAACACTTGAAGATTCAGCAGTGGAGCTATTGTGTGCAAAAAAATTATTACTCATGTCGTTTTGTCACTCAAGACTTATCAACAGGCCTTGAAGTCAACAGTAAATGAAAATGACCCTCGTTCCCACTTAGTAGATGTTTCTGTAGGGCTGTGACTGTGGCAGATTTTTACCACCGCGGTGGTAATGGACCAACTACCGCCAGTGGCGTGGTGTTGATAGATAGATATATATATATATATATATATATATATGTATTAGTGGTGTCAAAATTAGCTCGTTAACGCAGGTGATTATTTTTTTCAGTTTAACGCATTCAAAATATTTAACGCGGGGCTGGGGTTGGCCACCCCACTCACAACTGCTGCTTCTGTCACTTTTTCTCTTGACAAGAAGTGCATTTATTCAGTCGCAGAACGACTGAGAATGGGAGACGTTTCAGACGCGTGCTCCTCTTCACAATCGGTGCCAGGCGTGAGTCAAGTGAGCGTGGAAACGGTACTGTGCTCGAAGAGCGTGCTCTTCAATTGCACACACAGAGGCGCCGGTGCGCTGTAGCCTGTATCCTTTCATATCAAAGCGCAAAATAAACTATGTGCATGCAATGCCGTGGTCAGTTAATTCATGAAGTTACCAAAAAGGCGATTAAAGCTGCCTTAAAACTGTGCATGCATGTAATACATTTTATATGAGTCACATTTAAGAATGTCTCTGAAATGGTTTTTAAAACTGTCCAGGAGGAGCAGCCCAGCACTGTCTCACTCATCTAACACACCCGATTTAACTCGTCAGCTCGTGTTTATTTTAGCACTTCAGTCAGTGAATACGCAGCTTGCAAAACACTAAAATAAATATCAAAGAAATACAGTTAAACAAGAAAGTAGCCTAAATAAGAAAGTTTAAATGCACCCTGTCTACAGGACGTGGTGCGACAAAATACTATAAAACTCATTATAATCAGTGATGCTACACTGGAGGCGGCATGACACGATATGACAAATCCCCGACAGTAAACTGCCTCGTTCTATTTATGAGGTACTGACACAGAGTTCAAATGTCCTGTGTAGACACTAGACAGACTCAACCTGTTGCGACGTGGTGGTGTCGCGTCCGGTGTAGACAAGGTTCACTGTTCCGCTACTGTTATTACTGTTATTACACTTGTATACAAAACTTCATATTATATACTTGTTATAGTATGTACAGAGGTGGACTTAACCATTAGGCAAAGGTAGGCGATCGCCTTGGGTCCCCAAAAGCCAAGGGCCCCCTAAAATGCTTTTTATATGCGAGATGCGCGTTCAGTGCGGACGCGCAAGTGGTTGCTGTGGTGTTCATTACCACGACAACCGTCTGTGCGTCCGCGTTGAACGTGCTTCTTGGCAAAAGTAGGGCGATGTAGAAAATGGGGACGGAATCCCGGAATCTATTCATAAAAACGGAATGTACTGTGTAACGCGGAATGAACGGCGCAGACTCGTTCAATTAATTAGATATGTTTTTGATTAAACCATTAAAATTGAATACAGAACAATTGAAATGGAAAGCACAGATTTTGGGCCTTAAGAATGTAATTTTTGTTAAACTTTTAATAGGCCTAAATGGCTGTTAAATTAAACAAGTTTCATGATTTTAATTAATTAGACATGTTTTTTGTTAAAATTTTATATAATCATCCAGAAAAATTTAAACGAAAAAAAAAAAAAGCTGAATCCAGAAATTTTTACGAAAAAAACGATTTTGGAAAAAATAAAACTTAGGCTAATTTGGGAAAAATAAAACGGATTTCATAGGGCCCTACAAATATCATGCATCTGAAGCTATAATTTTAATACTAAGCAACAGTGCATATTATATAGGGCCTATTTAATTTTTTTTTAAACTGCGCTCACTCGTTTTTGTGGAAGACCCAAGAAGGACCATGCACAGTCACTTTCCACACAGGCACACTTCATGTTTGATTGAAATAATCCTTAAGCATGTAAATTTATAATTTCCTTCAGTTTAATTTAAATGTGCAATTAAAATAAATAAAAATAAATTTATATTTTAAAGTTTAGAATTAGACAACCTTGCGTTGTGTAGACAATTGCATAGTGAAAATTACCCCAACGCACCACCTGGTGTCCAACCTACTCTAATACTAATACTATTATAACCTGTTTAAATGTGTACAAGGGATTTACAACATTAAAGAAATCATTTATTTATAACATGTACATGAAAAATCTAAAAGATTGGACACAACTATGGGACACGGTCGTGCAGCAGCGAGCAACAGTGAAAGAAACCTCAAGGTTGTAGATGTGTGAAATTGTATAGGGCCCCATTCCTGTATTTTGCCTGGGGCCCCCAAATAACTAAATCCGCCCCTGTGTTATAGAGTGCGTGACGTCACGTGCACTACCGCCGGTGGCAGTAGACAACCGCGGTTGTCACGGCGACCGTCACAGCCCTATGTTCCTGGTCTCATTGTGTATGATTTCAGTAAAGTCTTCATAATATTTTAACCCCCCGTTTCACAGACAAGGCTTAGACCTAGTCCCAGACAAAAATGCATGTCTGGGCTGTTTTAACTGAAAGAAACTTGCACTGACTTATCTTAAAATGTCAGTGCCATTGTTTTGTCTCAAGATGCACACCAGTAATATTTGTTTGTAAAAGATACTTAAAAGTCCTAATTGAACTATGGCCTAATCCTGGCTGTCTGTGAATCCAGGCCTAAATGTAATAGCTTGTTCCACTTCTGAAACAACTTTCCTTTTTAGGCTGTGTGATAATTTAGGTTGTTGTAGGCTAATGTTGTATGTAACGCAAGCTTTCTTACATATTATCAGTTAGGGTTGGGCCAATAGACGATGCCATCGTCCATCACCGATGGCTGATAGAAATCACGATGTTGAGCTGGCATTGTGATCCCAGAACCCCCCCGCAGTCCGCCCCCATTTCTGCCGCATCCCAATACCGTGTTCGGAAAGAATATGACTTGAACTACAGAACCCCGGCTAAAGGGAATAAATACGAGATGGGAGAAAAATATATATTTCAATACTTTCTCTCGCAGTTTTATAATTGGGTAATTATACTGTATATAAATTGCGGGCATCAGGGAGCCGCTATTATGCCTGGCATTGAAAGTGCTTTTGAATGCACGATCGCTTTTTAGTTTCACTTTCGAGATTCGCAATCGCATGTACTCTGTTTATACTATTGAGCGGCAGTACTTACCACACATTTTACAAGATTAGATGTTGTAAACCCCCCCCCCCCCCCCCCCATGTCATCGTCCATTGCTATGTTTTACTGTAGACATCGTCCGATGCCAATTTTGTTGACATCGCCCAACCCTATTATCAGTAGTACAGCAATAATAGAAAATAACAATCTGCTTGGAAAAGTAGTGTAGCCTTTGGGATATGTGGAGAAGCTCTGGACCTTCTGACTTGACTTTCAGCATCAACGTCCTGGTGAAAAAACGTCCTAAAAAGTGCCTCAGGAAGAGAGTACTATCAAATTCAGATCTGACTCCATTCTAGTATTATAATCCTAAGTGGATCCAATCAATTTCCAATGAACAAAATTCCTGTCATGCAATATTTTTCTCATTGAATATTGTGTTTCACTCACAGAAGTAAAATAGGTTGTGAATGCTGTTTCTTTTAAGTGTCTTTGTTCAACTTCTGGCTTTTGTTGTGTCTTTTTAGGAATCGATTTTAAGATCAAAACAGTTGAATTGCAAGGAAAGAAGATAAAGCTACAGATATGGTAAGTACCATTACGTTACGACCATGCTTTAAGTGTGTAAAACCAATTTAAAATTAAATATTATTTATATAAAAATGTAATTATTTAAATGTGTTTTTAAAAAATGACATGACTAACACACGTTTCATGTTCTTTCTCATGTTCTATAACTGTTAAAAAAGTAAACTGCAGTGTTTTACTGTAGCATCACATAAAAGGTTAAAAATGTCATTTTAACACCATAAACAAACCAACCAAAAAACTGTTTAAATACCACCAATTCCTTTTTCAACGTGGTAATAAAGTTACATTAATCTGACTTTTTTTGAACTATTAAAATCATTCAGTTATTGCAAGCTGTTGTGATACGCATATTGCGATTTGTATTTTTGCGATATTTCGCTAGTTTCTATATATTATGTAGCCCTTGTTTATATGCAGGAAACAAAATTAACACCTGTCAAGCGTCAAATTTAGGCTTTAGTCAGAAAATTATTAATTTGTTAAAAGTTATTGACTTATAATAGCCTAAGCGTTATCATCCAAACGGCTCATACTAAATGACAAAAAGATAGCATGTAATTCAGACACTCATCTACCAGGTTAATGTGTTTCCTCCAGTGTTAATTTTGACAGCAAATTTTGATTTAGTTTTAGTCCTAGTCTTTTGACTAAAATGCCATTTTAGTTGTAGTCATATTTTAGTCATCTGAATTGTTTTTAATTTTGGTCTAGTTTTAGTCAACTACATATCATAAGATTTTAGTTGACTAAATCTACAGTAACTTTAGTCGGCTAAAATCTAATGGGTTTAGTTACAGTGCTTAGTTATTACAGGGTTTAGTTATTTATTAAGCATTTTTCTAAAATTTCCAAACTCATGTAGGTTTGATATTAAGGTTATATCATGATAGACACCGATTTAATGGCAGTGACACACAACATGTCTTTGTTCAAATTAAATAAAACCACTTCTCATAAAGAACAAGAACATGGTCTTCTTTTTAATGAAATACCAATGGTTATATAGGCTAAGTATGCATTCTTTATAGCAACTTGTTTACCATATTCTTCATTCTTTCAAACAGACATATTTATTTCTATAAATACATTTAGATGAATCTTTAGGGCTACTAAAGTTTTTCAGTCAAGAGTGATTTTCTGTCTTTCTGTTGTTGCTTGATTAACATCAATGACTCGGACAATAGCAACTAAATTAGGCTGCTGTCACTTTAAAACTGAATGCACAGCTGCAATGGATGCAATGTACTGATACACG